GTGTGAAGGAAGCCATTTACGTTAAGAGACAAGAACCAACCTTAAACAGAAGGAGGGGACTCAGATTTAAGCTCCTGAAAACCTACAACACAGCGATAAGAGTAGATTCCTTCCCACTATCATCTCAATCTTGATCGCCATGCAGGTGATCAAAACATCACTCCTGTAAGCCAGGCCAACAACGACCCTAGCGACCCTCCATTATTATGGGGTGGACCTGTTTTCGGTTCAATTTGCATGTTTTCTGAACCATCAAAAGCCTTTTGTTTGGGCTACTCTATAAGCTCAACGCTACTCCAGACATTTTGAATTGAGAAAGCTTTCTGGATGAGAAGCGAAACGTCATCAAACCTGAAAAACAAAGTCCAGTGGTTTGTTTTTGTAACCTTTTTTTTTGAAGGGGAGCCAATGAGCTGTTGCTCCGCCCTCTTCCACCTCACTGAGCTCCCAGACAGGAACAGTCAGGCTCTTTCTGTTGACCAAGTATCTGATTTGAGTCATTTAGGTTATTTTATCACCCAATCTGGAACCATAGCTCTCTGAATGGTTCATTGTGGAGAATCCTCCGTCTTTCTGCTCCAACACTGACTCAACATTTCCCCCATGGAATCAACCCACCCTACGCTTCTTATTCTTCTCCTTTTATAGCCTTCTGCAGCAGCTGGGTTTGGCCTTTGGACCACAGTGTTACCCACTGGTGGTTGCTGATTGGTCAGTTTTTACTGCAATACCTTTTTTGGATTTCCTGCCCTTGGAGGTGATTATTATTGGGGTTTGAAAACTTTTCTTTTTCATTCTAGACAAGGCCAGCCTTGTTTTCAATTGCAGTCTATTGTTATGTTGTTTACTAAGCAAACTCCTCTGTCCATCATCTGTTTGTTATGGCTAGGTTATTCCTCTTATCTCCTCATTTACCTTTTTCTTTCGTTAGGATCACTTTTTTTTAACTATTCATGCCCCGCCCACATCTGTAGCAAATAGCCCTTGATGAATCTTGATCCCCAAAACCTGAATAGTATGCAGATGGTTTAAAGTCTGTTACTCACAAACTGTAGTTCACTCAGATGCAATGTGCATAAATAAGACAAAATGGAGTATTTGATCCAAGTTGACCGAATCTCTGTTGGGTTTGGGTGAGGCGTCTCTAAAACAATTATTTTTTGGGTTACATATCTGTTGTACATTTTCATAAAAACATGGCGTGGTGCTGCTTTATTAAAATGTTTCTATGGGGAGCTGTGAAGTAATTAGGCAACGCCCACCAAATATATGACTTGGTTAAATATGGAGCACATCAGATAAGTGTAAATTAGAGCCAAACATAGAATTCCCGGCATGATGTCTTACTTGGCTACACTGTCATGGCTACACCCTCCAGTCTAAAACTTATGCTACGTTCAGACTGCAAGCAGCAAAGGCAGCAGAAGCAGCTAGTTTACACGCAAAGTCAATTGATGACACAGCAAAATGTCCCACAGCGCATTTTGTGCAGCACGTCGTGAGTGTATGACTTTTGCTGCTCGATGCGCCACATCAACCAATCAGAGAAGCTGATCTGGGAGCTGGCAGGGAGACAGACGCAGCACTGCTGATGCAGAGCGCTATGATCACTCCTCTGAAACGGTTTACTAATGCCTTTATTAACTTAAAATGCTGAAATCTGCAAAACATTTTCACTTTTATTATCCTGGTGCCTGCAGTTTGGATTACGTACATTACGTAGACTTCCAACCGCCACTGCAAACCGCGAAGAGACAACCGGGGAAGAGGCTGCTGTTGAAGGGGGGGTCTGAGCGTCTGCGACAGAGAAATAATATTTGAAGGCAGGATGGTAATCTGGATGAACTGACTGCATAGATTGTGCTCAGGTGGACTTTTTCACTGAAAAACATATCAAAATGACTTTTTACCAACTGATCACAGCAAATATAGCTGCCATTGTTAAAGGCAAAGAATCCACCCAACGCGCATCAGACCCAATTTTCCCCCGTGCAGCCAGAGCAACAAAGATGCTTCAGCCGCGCATCAGAACTAAACTTGAACAAGCATCATAAAGGAAGCAGCACGTGCGTTTTTGATGCTCTTGCTGCTTGCGGTCTGAACGCAGCATCAGGTTTGATCCAAATGTCTCAAGTTAAGCTCCTACCTCATGTTCCCAGCTCATAACCCTCCCCCTTAATGAGGCAAATAATAAGACCCGTATTCAGGGTAGGAAAGGAGCTCCAGGCTGCTGTGCTAAACCTGGAAAGCCGTCAGTCATTATGCAGTGGACACAGATGAATGACACTGGTCAAATAGGGACTACAGCTTTACAAAAAAAGAACTACAAATATAGTAACACAACAGTACTGATGAAGGAAGCTCTTAGAAAACATCTGAAGGTGAAGACATTTGCATTTTGTCCCACACACTTCATGTTATGTCATATTTCTGTTGAAAACTCCCTGAGGTAGGCTGTGCTTATGCATTCTGTCACACAAAGACTTGAGAGCAACAGTATCGTGCCATCCTCGTCATGAGTATGCCGTTTTTAATCAGCTAGACAGCTATATAACGATGCTCCACTAAACAGATGTGTCGTCTTTGGTTACTAGCTTGTTTATGAAAGAATGGCGTCTGACCATTGCCTTCGCTTTGACCATCGTAAAACTGGAGTATACAAAACATGTTATGAGCTAACCAACATTGGAAGCTAACAACAGTGACGTTCCAAATTATTAAAATGTACAAATGATGTTGTCATCACACAGATAAACAAACAGACGCCATGTTAAACATAAAGAAATTGTTACGGACAAATCCTGTCCAAACACAACAATAAATTAAGGTTTCTCAGCTTAACATAGAAACACTCTGGCATTTCGTTCTGCCATCTTGGATCTATTGCTTCCTCTGGTTCCCTTTTAAGCAGATGTGCCAAGTCTCCCGAAAGTTCCAGGAATGGTTTTTTTCACGAATGCCCGCAATTCGGATAAATTATCCCTGATTTTAGACTTTCTGAGGTGTTTTTTTTCAATGCAATTGAGAGCGAACAGGTAATACAATAATTCAATCATGTGCAGATTAGGACTACTTTGATTGTGCAGGAACAACAAGAGAGAGCGGGGTGTGGGAAAAAAGTTGCTTGTGAAACCTGTGCATATCTGTATATCTGCTTGTTTCCTTGAACCCCAGTGGGCCTCAGCAGATGGCCGCTCACACTGAGCCTGGTTCTGCTGGAGGTTTCTTCCTGTTCAAAGGGAGTTTTTCCTCTCCACTGTCGCTAAAAGCATGCTTAGTGAGAGGGTGTTAGGTTTATTTAATGATGATTATAAAATTAATGTATGCTTATGAAACATTTGTGCAAGGGGATGCTCCACTGTGTCTTGTGATTCAGTCAGGAGACCATCCTGCCTTGTCATTCTGATGGAGCATCTTGTCATTATGAACTGATCAATTGTTCTGTCAGAACAAATACTGTTTTGTAACCATGTGTTATGATCTGTTAATAAAAGACGGCTCCAGGAGAGGATTCGGAGAAAGAAAGCTTGAAGTTGGGTTGGGCTTTTTCTTTCCGCTCCTGCAGAAGTTGCTTGAATCTCTTTCCTGTGTAGATTCAGTTTCTCTTTTACAAACCTACATTTTCTGAACCTAACAGAGGGATTGCTGAAAAGTCAATGAGTTGATGCAATCAACTGTTTTCCGTAGATAGGAAACTTTGAATCAATCTGACTGGATGATCTGGTGAACTGTGAAGTGCCTTGAGATGACATGTATTGTGAATTGGCGCTATAGAAATAAACTGAATAGAATCTGTCTAAACTGATGCTCTGTTCAACCAGTGTTCCAGGTGACTGGTTGTCAGAGAGCGCGCTGATTGGATTAGTCAGAAAAATAAGCCAATAAGTTTCTGGTTACTCTAACACTCACCTAGTTACCACTCAAAGCTGTGAATCCTGTGAAATGGCGGTTGGGGGTTGGTGGTTTCGATAAGCATCTCCCTGGAATTAGCTTTTGAAACCTGGGATGTCTGCTTTTAAACTTAACAAAAAAATATATATAAAAAAACAGAAAAACACCAGAGGGAGCACTAGGGTAATTTACAAAAAAAACAAAAAAAAAAAAACTAATTTAGTATATTTCAGAAAACAAGTATAGTGGTTTAAAGAATGTTAGAGGTCCCTATGCTAACTGCATTAGCGATAGGAAGCACAGTGCTTCCTGCTGCTTCCTTCCTAACTGGCAGCACTATTCAGTTGGCACTTAATGGTGACTGCAGACACACTTCTGCCGTGACATAATGGTCTTTACTGATTTCAGTAATTTGGACTGAACTGGTGTTTGAAACCAAGTGAAACTGAGAGAGGCATTTTTCCAAGTAAAAAAAATGACTTCCTGTTCTCAGGGGGCGGGGCTTTTATAATGTCAGCACATGACCATATAGTGGCCGTTTCTCAATATGTGTACTTGTGCGTCCTCATGTGCTCGTGAAACATCATCAGCCTCAGCCCTAGTACTGTTCCAATTCACAAGAACAGCAGAAACAGAACGGACAAAGTCCCCGGATATTTTTCTCGCCCTGCTTTTTTACCCAGCATGCATCAGAGCAGTCTTGTCCATAATTGAGACTGGCAGCTATCCCAGCATGCACCACGGTAGGAGCAGCAGCTTCCAGGTTAGCGCTCACAGAGCTCAGAGTATGAAGTTAAAAGTTCTCTTTCCTGTTGCGGTGGTTCTATAACACTACATTCTAAGATCATTTGAGGCGAGAACTTTCTACTTCTAAGCATCACTATATGGCCCATTTACTGATTTAGTGTGTAATTTAAAACTCACGTTCTAGTGAATTGAGAATCAGCCATTGTTGTGCATTAAAAATGGTTCCATTTCCTCAGCTTTTGGGTAATTTTTTAAAATATTTTTTATGAACAGGAACGAACATTTCTTGGCCAACCCGCTCCCGTTCCACATCCTCACAGCTGCTACCAAGAATTAAACATTCAACACAGAATTATTTTAGTAAACAACTTTATTCTCTTTCTGGAAAGAGAAGAATCTGAATCTGTTGATAACAGAATGTTCTGGTAAACTGGTTTCACTGGTCCAAGTCCAAAATGTTTGGAGGTTCTGTGGGCTCGGCTGGTTCCGCTGCTGAAGTCATTTCCTGTGAGACAGAAAAGAGGAAGATGATGATTAAATGATCAGTAAAACCTTCATCATGACCTATGAGCTCAACGCAGCAAGGAAGTAATGGCTCCTATCTGTGCTGCAGTGAGACCAGAACCGTAGAGACGGACTTACCCCAAAGGGCTCAGCGAAGGCCCTGGAGCCGCTGTAGAGAGGGTTTGGGATGGAAACCAGCGTTGGTTTGGTTGGTCCACCTGCAGCACCATCTTCATCCTCATTCTGTCACAGAGGAAACAGCAGCAGGGTCAGAACCATGGCGTTAACCTCCACTTACTCAGAAGATGGAGATGAAATCATGACTTCAGTCAGTTTGAGACGTTTGCCTGATGATCTGATCCAGATCCTCTAGGAAAGCTTCACACTGAGATCAGCTGCTTAAAACTTTAGTGGAGGATCTTCTTTTTCTGGGTGGATCATCAAAATAAGTGGTCCTCCTAACCGTCAATCATTCTGGTGATATGTTTATGTGCTCGTCCCCATTTTCAATGACTTAATGCAAATCGTCTTTTTGGAAAGTAAGCTTGTATGAGCGATGCAAACAGCAACTTTAAAACAGAGCGTGGGCAAGGAGAAATGGGCTCCTGCACGCTCTGGCACAGGTTTAATAGGCGTTTCCTCTCAGGAGCGGCTACAGGGTTGTGCATGTATATTTTTTTTTAAAGTAGAGAGGGCGGGTCTTTTCAAAAATTCACAAAAATCCTCCACTATGCCTTAAATGTTTGGAGCTGATAAACAGCCCAGGATGAGACAATAAATGGTGAATATAGATCTGTGATCGACACAGGAAAGCTCTGAACACGTCTTACTTTGAAGTAGTGGAAGCGGAAGGCGTCCATCTTTTGCCTGAAGAGGTAGTACCCCAGTGCTGCCAGCACACATACCAACAAGGGAACCAATATGGCTGACGCTACCCCAGTGGAGTGGGCGTGGCCTCTGGAGCGGCTGTGGATCACCTGAAGAAAAGCAGGTAAGACAAAAAAACTGCGAGTCAACGTTCCTGCTTGGAAAAATTAAATACAGTTGTGAGAGAAAATGTCTGCCCCCTTCCTGGTCTCATCTTTTTGTACATCTACATTTTTCAGAAAATCTAATTTAAATATTAGTTAAAGAGAATACAAGTATACACAAAATACAGTTTTTAAGTAATCACTTGTTTGCTATAATTTACAGTGATTCTTTTCCAGCACAGTAGAAGAGTTTTCATTCAGTCATCTTTGCAGAATCTTTGTAATTTAGCCATATTTCCCAGGATTAATGGTGTTTTTAAGGTCAAGTCACGGCATCTCAGTAGGATTCAGGTCAGGACTTTAACTAGGCGGCTCCAAAGTCTTTAATTTGTTCCTGCTGCAGAACCAGAGTTGGTTGAACAGATTGTCAGAGGCTCTGCCTCAGAATTTATTGGTAGACGACAGAAAGCTTGTTTCTATTTATCACAGCAAGACTTCAAAGTCCTGAAGCAGCTAAACATCTTCCCAAAAGTCCAGGTGATCAACATGATGGGTCCTGGAATAACTGAGTCGAGCCTTGATGTTCCTTCATCATTGGTTTTAGTCGTGGATTTCTGCCATGCAGCCATTGTTCCTCTCTTATGATGGAGGGATGAACTCTGACCTTAGGTGAGGAAGGGAAGCCTGCTGTTATTTTCGTTGGCTCTTTTGTGACCTCCTGAATCAGTTGTTGCTGCGCTCTTAAGCGGGGCAGACACTGTGCAATTTTTTCAATCGTTGCAGCTACAGCTCAAACTGTACGACCAACCTGCAGAGTTTAAAAGTTCACAGCTCACGATGTTTGTTCTCACACTGTGCGACCCGACGCTCTGATGCGATCTACCTGCTCACACTGTACGTCTAAAAACCAGGTGGGACTCAGCTCCGCTTCTCGGACTCGTCTATCAGGGTTGTATAAAGTACTGAAATCTCGGAGTCAAGTAAAAGTATAACTAACTTTCCAAAATATGACTTTGGTAAAAGTCCAAGTTACTGACTGAAATGTTACTTTAGTAAAAGTCTTAAAGTATCTGAAATGGCTTGACTTAAGTATAAGAATTACTGTAAAAATAGATGTACTCAAGTAATGTAGTGCAAAATATAAGTTAAAATTAAGTGCAGTTTGGATGACATTTTTGTACATTTTGGTAAACTTTGAAGGTTAAATTCACTTAAAATAATATAAACAACCAAGTGTAGGATAAATTTAGACTGGCTTTGCGAAACAGGCGTATCCTATTGGTGTTGATGAACAAACCGAGGCAAGACCCGACCCGCAAAACACTTGCGTTTCTCCCCCTCTTTTATTTTCTATTTAGTAAATAAGTAACTCAGTAACTAAACTCAAAAAAATTTATACTCTTGGAAAGTATAAAGTACTCCAAAATATACTTTAGTACAGTATGAAGTAT